TTATGTTTGATTTTAATTGAAGCTACTACCGATAAATATAACTTCTTTACGACTTGTGAAGTTACCTAAATTAATAAAAGATTAATTAAAAACAAAAGAGTTTTTAGGCACAAATACAACATTTGAACCAATGTTTAGCAACAGTGACGGAATTCCAGAAGGAGAAACATATTAACTTTGCAGGTTCGAATAACATTTCTGGGCAGGGAAACTTGACACATTGTAAAATCTTTATCAGACCTTGAGGATAAACTAGAGACATACGTCTTACGAAGGAAAGTGGCACAGACCGCTTCTGAAACTTACGAAAAATCCGACGGTAGCTCCAAATATTATGATGCTTTAACGGACTAGTTGACATGGTACATTCGACACGCCTTTAAACTTCAAAGCTATAATAAGCCGGCTTGACTTCACATGTGCGGGCAAGAACCCCATATATTTAAGAAAAAAAGCAATATTCACGCTTCAGAAAGGAAATCTAATACGTCTGCAATACTATAACGCGGCAGAGAAAAAGCTTACGTTACTTACGAACAGAGCGATCATGACCAACGACAACAACATAGCTGTCACACTGAACGAAAAGTATAGAATGCACGCTCTACGTGTGTTTTTCCGGAAATAAGAAATCATTAAACAACGTTCTGTTTTCAGCAAGACCAAAGGAATTTCGTTCCGTATTGGCCTTAGGCCAATAGGTCGAATCTAATCACGAATAGAGGACACAGTTCAAAGATAGAAGCTCTGTAATGAAAATGGTACTGCCCCACATGGAAAAAAACCACAGTTAATAGCAGACAAGGATCTCCTTATGGATGTAGGCAATTCGTTACTTTTATGTCAAGCCACATAGCCTAACCCGAATGAATCGTCTGACTCAGGACGATGCCCCAATCGACCGTCTTGGTCCCATAAATATCTACTATGGCAAGCCAAGAGACAGACCACCTCGCAAAACACGATCAGGTTAATTTTTTAAGAACAAACGTAATGATTAAACATCGTCACCCTCAGAATCATATAATTGGGGAAACATAGTCCTTTACATTTATTACCTATCGATAAAATCTATCCATCTCACCAAATATTGACGCAGAACTAAAAAGTAAAGCCCTTAAAGCACAATATGCGAATGCAAAGGCTAAACGAAGTAGGACAGAATATGAAATTCTGAATGGGAGATAAGGTCCCTGACAGAGCGGGTCACTAACCACTTTCTGCAGCTTTTGCGGGCATTGAACGGAAACAACCGTTGCAGATGCTGCCGGTCGACAAACGACACCATGCACGAGGGATAATATTAGCGATTTTAGGGAGTAGGGCTAGCTTACATTATAAGAAAATATGTTTTTTAGAGTTAGTTGAATTTTGGTCAGTAAATCAGTCGGTACCTACGAGCTGTGAAATTTCTTTTTTGCTTTGTGCCACCAAATCGGACTGACCAGAAAATTTGTTCTTGTTGCGTCATATCTGATACTTGTAAATGCGCTTACTTTTTTCATACAATGCATCGTGCAACCATCTTTAATGGAAAAATTATTCATTTCCATAGAAAAGCGGAAATTGTTTAATATCGCACTTCAAGAGTGCAAAATAAAAATAGCAGGCGAAAGTCTGGAACAATATTACAACCATCTGCAGACTGAATTCACTGTCTAATAAGTCAACTTTCATAGCCAATCACTAAATAGTCCAAGACCTTTGCTTACATCGATCAATCTAATGATTAAAATTGTTCACCCAATATTCTCCTTTACAAGCAATCAGACCAAAATACTTTATCGCATTGCTGTCCAATCTTAGCTTGTATCTTTTAGGATCACATCCATCTATTAGATTGAATCTAAAATAATGCCACTCAATGAAAAGACCAAAACACTGCAAACCTCATGAAAATCATTCTTTTATTCAACGGCCATCAATAAAAATAGCCAATAAAAAAAGAAATCGGTTTGGCCATAACTAAATGATGAGATTCTAGCTTATAGATTATTATCGGTTGCTTGGAAACGAATGTGCGAAAAGCTCGTACTCCGAGAATACTAGGAGGCCTTATAGGTTCTAAGATCAGCGCGTTCGTATATACGTACAGACGGACGCAAAAACGGACAGACAGATTCGGCTACTGAAAGTGTAGACTTTATGGACTCCCTTCTGCATGTAACATATGTTATTTTCAATACTTCTTTTTACGAGATTAATAAAAAACTACAGGATGTCGCAAGCCGCATACAAAAGCTGGCGGTGACGAAACCTTAGATACATATATATGAGGATGTGACAATGGAAAGTATACTTTGCGAGCAAACACTCGACGTTGTAAAGTCTCTCCCATTATTTAATGAATATCAAAAGCACTACGTTTTTTGGCGCCCAACGGCAAAGGCAGTTTTTTTAATATCATTATAGCTAGACAACCGACTACTTCACTTGATTAAGCGGGAAGAGTTTGTTAACATGGAGTATGGTGTCTCTGTGGCACAGCACATGAATGATCAGCACAGAGCAGACAGCACTCGCGTGTTTATATCAGGACTATTTGTACAAGGATCCGTACTTATGTTCTGTTCTCTCGGTAGAAAATTGGATGCACGCTCACCGCACGAACCAGTAATTATCAAAGTTATTAAAAGATATCTGCCAGCTCGGATACGCAAAGTGACCAAAGGTGTTAGAGAGTTAATCATAAAGCTCGTCAGAAATTATGTGATTAGGAGTACGATGCATCCGCACCAGTCACAGAAACCGAAGATGAAAATGAAACATTTTTATTTTTAACGAAATCTTCCTGCTCCCGTTCATTGAACGTTAATTAAAAAAAAAAAAATAGGCCAAATAAAAGTTCCTTCAGTTGTGAAGGACTAGTTTTTAAGGCTGATGAAAGTACGTATTAGGGTATTCGCAGATCCTAATTAGCTGCTCACGTTTAACACGCACGTCGTCGGAATAACCCGGACCCGCGACGAGGAGCCGTGTTAGGGCATTCGCAGATGTGGTGCTCTAGTTTAACACTTAGGTCATCGGAACAGCCCGCACCGAAGACGATGAGCCGGCTTATTCTAAGTTTTCTGTGGACACTCAGGCACAGGTAAAAACTTTCTGACAAAGATTTCCAAAAGCTCAATCGAAAACCACTGCGAATAAGTATCCGATTCGGAGCATCATTATTGCAGGGGAAGTACTTTCCAAAGAACAATCGATGTACTTCGGGAGAATATCAACAAGACTTCTTACTTCTACGTCGCGATAAACACACCCATTTTAAACTCATGATAAAGAAAAATCTTTCACTTGACTGCTTTGCGCCAATTTACAACAAATGCGGGTGCATTTAGTTCTTATATAGAGCTTGGAAAATAAGTTAGAAGCTAGTTGTGCATTTTGCGAAAAGCTTGAAACACGTCCCAAATTAACTTTTTTTAATATCTATGCGAATGAGCATACACCTGTAACTTCGCCCATTCAACTTTTGTTTCGCATTTATCATTAAAGAGGGTTGTTGTTGTTTTACATTTTTCGAAACATATAGGGCATGTCTTAAACGATTTTTAATAAAGATCATTGAATATGAATTTGAGGCCACCGTCTTGGACCTCAATATCCACTAAAGAAGAATGGACATTACGAAGTGTCAGGACCAAGAGTTGTATATATAGAGAAGTTTTTTTGGTTATTGTTAACTGAAAATTACTTAAAATGTTGGAAACTAGGGCGTGGCCTAGAACGAGATTGAGCTCTGCAAACCTTTTACAGAAGAGGTAAAAGAGAATGTAACTCGTTTGCCATTCGCATGGTTTGCTAGGGGTTCCCTTACGATAACGAGTTTTGTACCACTGTCGGGCCAGAGTATGCCACGGAAAAACACACGGTCCATGCCCATTTCAATTGGGAACAATTTAAACTTTTTTTGCTCCTTATGAGTTGTTATTGCTCGTCTGTTATTTTATTCCCAGTCCACACATACGGAACATATTTATTTTATTTGATAGTTTATCATTATAATAATTTATTTGTTTTTTTTTTTTAGTTCTTTCTATTCAATAATGTTCCTTGGTATTTAGACATTGAGGCTAAAATTCCGTTGTGTTTCGCACAATGTTCCTAAGAAGTCTATCAGAAATCTGCACCCAAAACTTTCACCTGCCCGTATTCTGTCCTTTTCAGATGGGCCCGTAAACTATATGAAACATTAAACAGAAAGCAATTGCTATTGACTGCCCTTTACCGACATTTATAAACAAAGAGGAGTTTTCTATTTGGGATTGCGCGACTTTGAGATTTCTGGACTCCCGTGCGATCACAAAAAATCTATACAGACAAAAACTAAATAACAAATGCACGGAAAACGGAACAACGCTATGGGAAATCCTTTTGTGAATTACTTTGGTGTCTACTATGTAATTCTTATAAAATTTTAATGGCATCAATATCGATCTTTATTTATATATATATACATGGATATATCAATATCTATGTAAATACCAAAGATTAAGACTTCATATAAATGATCTGTAATCATTTATTTGACGAATGTAGGGAAGCATCTAAATTGTGTAATATTCCTGATCGGTACATACTATACAAGAGTCTCAGTACCATTTAAATAGTTTTAAAGTTTAGCTTTCAAATTATGTAGCGGTTAGCATCTCGTGAGTCGCAAAGAAAGCTAGATATCATAAATGTTGCCATCAAAATGCTAAACAAAAAGAATGTATTCATAAGACATTGTGCTCTTCTCGCAAAAATGTGTGAATTATATTTGCATTACACAAAGTGTAAATGCAAAGCGAATTTGTATAAATATAATTTTTTAAAACTTTAAAATTTAAATTATTAAATTATACATCGCATCAATCCGTTGATAAGCATATTTTTTATAAGCAAACGAGGGTTCCATAAAGGTTCACAACCACAAAATGAGTTTACATGTGTTCTGTTTTAGAGTTCCTACGGCCATGCTAATTCACATAAAATATTTCATTAGAGTACTCATGCAGTATTTTTTAAATGGCCAAGTTTCAATCAAATATTTTTACTGTAGATTATTGCATGCTCTAGTGACCCAAAATTATAGTTATGGATAAAGTTTGGATTGATAAAGCTCGCTACGACAATGCAGAAAAAATGTATTATGAATGGTTGTGTAACGTAAGTACATACATATGTAGAAAATGATATACACGCATTTGTTGTAGATATAAATAACATCACACGGTATCTGGTTGGATAATAAATCTGTCAATCATACATGCAGAGAAATGTTACCATTTGGTGTTTGTGTAAATTTTGTTTTGATACTAAAGCACAGTGGAATGACATACAAAAATGAAGAATACCTAAAGTAATATATAATTCTAGATCTAAAGAGCATTTCAAACGAGAAAGAAAGGCTATCTTCGGCACGCCGAAGATCTAATACCCTAGCAGACCCAACCTTTTCATAATGCTTATAGTGATTTACTCGTATCTAAGAAGCACAGGGAAAATAGTTAATGCCGAGTTTGGTCAAGTTATCTTGAAAAACAAAATGTTTTTTTTATTCAACAACTTAATTTTCGACCGATCGTTCCTATAGCATTTATATGATATAATGGTCCGATCCAGCTGTTTGTAACATACATATGTGCTGCGTGCAACAGAAAGAGGGATTTCTGCAAAGTTTCATAAAATAGCTTTAAGACAGAGAGACTAGTTCGCATAGAAACAGACAGACGGACATAGCTATATCGACTCGGCTGTTGATGCTGATCAAGATTATATATACATTATAGGATCGGAGATGTCTCCTTCTATGCGTTACACATTTTACGACAAAATCTGCAAGGGTATAAAAATTAAATGCTTATACAGGGTGATGGTCTCACAGGGTGCTTTGAACTCTTCTCCCAAATTTAATAATGGATTTTAAAATTAATATATATATATATATATACTCAATTATCAATGATTTTTCTACCCGCAAAGTATACATTTTCTTGGTCAGCACCAATAGCCGAGTCGATCTAACCATAACCGTTTGTATGAAAGAATGATGGCAAGGATCTCAGAATCGATAAGAGCTAGAGACTTAAAATTAAACTGGGGTCCACCTAGTTCCCGCGCATTACAAGCACTAATCATACAATGCATTGTGCAAGTGTACAAGTGGTACATTTTTGTTTCCGATACTCATTAACTTGCCCCGTTTGAGCAAATCTCATAAGTTTTAAAAGCTAGTCACCAAATTTGAAATGTAAGTTCTCGAATCGTGGTTATGGTTTAGAATTAACGAGTATATACCGATATCTTCGGCACCGAAGATTTAATTCTTTACTTAAGAATAGTGAAGCTCATAAATTCTGAGTTGCATAAAAATGTCTTTCAAAACTAAATACTTTGTCATACAATATATTACATTTCGACCAATCGTTCTCATGGCAGCTATGTATGTATGAATGTATGTATATGATGTAATGGTCCGATTTTGATAAGATTTTGCATATACATACATACATACGTAGGGAGCATGGTGAAACTTAAAAATGCCAAGGTTGTCGAGATATGTTGAAAAGCCAAAATATTTTTCATACGGCAACTTAATTTTATATGATAGAGGGGTCCGATCAGGCCTCTTCCGACATACATATATTATACCTACAACAAAAAGACAGTCCTAGGCCAAGTTTCAAAACTGAGAGATTAGTTCGCAAAAGACGAATAGATATGAGTATATCAACTCGGCTATTGATGGTGATCTAGAATATATAAACTTCATGGGGTCGGAGATGTCTCCTATGCGTGACACATTTCTGGCCTCCTCTTCAATGGTATACAATATAAAGAGAATTAGGAACATATTTACATCAACCGCGTTACATAAACAAGTAATAGAGCTCTAGTCTGAAGTACCCTCCTAATGCCCTGAACCATCATCTACTAACGCTTTACACTTATTTTAAGTTAACTGATGGGTAAGAGGATATACAATCATTACCAAAAAATCCCAAACAAAAGTCAGGGAGGTTAATCTAAACGGTGCTTTAAAAGTAAAAGGTTACGGTGCACAGTGAGGCGCCTTACTGAAGTTGGCGTAAATGACAGAAATTTGCAAATGGCAAAGCTATGGAAAATCATATTTTTACTAACGAGGTAAGTTGACTGATTCTTTACGAATCTACGTTGAGCAGGGTTGGTATTTTATCAAATATTTCGTGGATTGGAATTCTATCCAAATAAATAGAATGTTAGAAAATCTAAGGGTTAGATTAAAAGGCAATTGGCGAAGAAGGGAAACACTATGCTCCTTTAGTACACAAAAGAAGTTTTATGAGAATTTATAGCTGGAAGAACGAAGCTATGAGAAATAATGACAGCAAATTTGTAATTGAAGGAATACAAATTTGTAAGACAAGACATATTAGCACCATCAGCTAGGTTAAGATGCTAAAGAATAGTATAAAATTAGCTAATAAAAGAATTTAAAATAATAAAAATAAAAAAATCACCATTAGAATCATTACTGGCAGTATACCTACCAAGAATAAAAATTATGCGAAATTGCAGGCTTACGCCTCAAGTCTATTTTGGAACAAGAATGATACATTTTGTAACAGGTAGTTGACTATAGAGTATTTAGTTGCCACGTGCGGGAACTAAATGTAAAAAACTAATTAACCAAATGTTGTTATTTTGGGTAACTCAGGTGATAACTCCTTCTCTCTGATCTCGAACGTCCAGGTCGATTGTAAGAAACAGGTAGATCGTAGGTGCTTCAATCTTTTTCTACCCTGAACTCATTGAAAATGGGTAAAAGGGCATAACGTATTTGTGCAAATGTATGTACCAGGCAGAAAGAAGCATCTTCAATCCTGTGAAGCATATATATTTTTGATCAGCATCAATAGCCGAGTTGATATAGCCATGTCAGTCTGTCTGTCCTACCGTCTGTATGTATAAACGCAAGGATTTCAGAGCCTATAAGAGATAGAGAGTGAAATTTGGTATGTAGGTACTCCCACTCCTTGCGCGGTACGAGTTTGTTTCCGATAATCGATAACTTACTCCGTGTCCAAGCAACCGATATAAATATATACCGATATCATGTTTTTGGTCAATGTTGGTAGATAACAGCTAGAGTCACCAATCTTCATATCTTGATTCTAGAAGAGTATATGTATATATATATATATATCAAGTAACTTTTATTTTATAGCTATCGCCAACTCCCCGCTACCACCATAAAGCTATGAATCAAGTTAATAACTTAATTTGTATTGCCCACCAATTTAAGCCACAATTTTAATGCAATTGACTTTGAGAACACACAAATATTCTATAGCACATTAAGGTGTACTGTAGAAAATATCATTAAGATCGGTTAAGAAACACAACAGTTATTAAAGAAAATGTGTTTTGGCTGACCACTTGTTCTAGGCAGATAGGTCAAATTGAAAGAATTTCTGTAAATGCGCGACTTCTTTGAATTCTATCAGCAGAATTGCAATTGCGATTGAACTTTTTTCTGTGCTGCTACTTTAGTTGGTTTTTTTCTCATCGAGACTCAAATATTAGTATTGTTGTTGAGTAGAGATGGTGGCAAGAAGAGTGGCCTGTCGCGTGTTCGAGTTCTATTGAGCTCTCTATTTTGTTATAGCCTAAACACATAAAAAATGGTTAAAAGCAACTAAGTAGCAATAAATTAAATAGATAAATTAAATAAATAGGAAAAATTGCAAGAGTTTTTGTATACATCTTTCGTCTTTATTGAATTTTATCAGCAGCATGGCAATTGCGTTTGCATTGTTTTCAGTGCTGTTTTTTTTCTCATTACGTCGGATTAATTATTGTAATGCGGTCAGTTGCGAGCTTGAACCCTACCAAGGGGATTTTTTTGTTTGATTTGTTTTTATTACTACTAAAACAAGCGCGTATCGCGAGCTGCATTTGGTGTTGGAATAAGAGGGTCGTTAGCTCCCGACTAGAGCTTGTTTATTATTTTCAAATTATTTGTTATTATTTTGAAATCAATCCATTTTCATACAGATCCAATTTCGTTTATAGCTACTTCTTCTTGTAGAATGCGATGTTAGTTTGTTAATTTGGAAAATAATTACGTCAATTTTATTTATATAAATGGAAAGAGGGGATTGATTTGAAAAACATTAGTAGGGAGCTCGTTTCGTATATGATCTTATAGACGTTAATATTAAAATAATGAAGCATTTTAAAATTTCCTGACTTTAAACTATTAACTCTGAGTTCGATGATAGCTACCTCAGACTTGAAGTTTGTGTACTTCGCATGGGTTCTCATTTCTTGGGAACCAACAAACTTTTTTGGTTCCTCTAATTGCCTAATTTGCGATTCCATGGTAGCTGTATGCAGCTAAGTTGCATACGCAACACCATTTTGCCAGCATGTTGACTTGCCACTTGCGGGAATCAAATGAAGGAATTTTGGTTAGCTTAGGTGTTAACTTATACTAGCATACGTTAAAATAATGTTAATGTTGCGCGTCATAAGATTAGCGATCCTATTAACATTTTTAGTTAATGTTCAATATTATCTAAACCATTTGAACTATCGTCTTAAATTTGTTGTCCATTTGCCTGTCATCTTCTTAAAATAAAACAACTATGGCTTTTGTTACATTCAAGATACCATAATTAATTTTTAAGTAAAAGTACAAATAAAAGTAACGAAAATTTGGTCATCGGGATAGTGCCATCTGCGATAATTATATTTTTCCAAAATATTTAATCAACGATAGTGATTTTTATTCCTGATAATCACTTCGTGATATCGATGGGGAATTGAATTAAAGTTACTAATGTATTGTAGGGAAACAGTAAACCAAGCGTGTTTGATGCCTTCGATTAACTCAGATTTTGTTCTATATTGATTTTGCGACTCGTACACTTTTTATTATATTTTATGGGATTGCTTTGTTAAATTATGCTGATTAATCTGCTTTTCGCAGCCTGCAATGGTTCCACGCCGTAGGGTAATGTTATATCTGCAATAATTGTTATTTGTTCCTTTTTTTTTATTGGATCTCCTTGCCGATACATTACATGAGTATACTTTGATGACGAGTAGTTTAAGTTTAACTTGTATGGTTGCCACTAAAGAAACAGTTTTTTATTTGCCCTCCTTGAATTTAACTTGAA